GGCAAACTGCTGCGCATAAATGTTCATATAAAAAAGACAAACCAATTGTAGCTTCACAGAAATCATCATTAGCAACTTCGTGAGCTAGGTTTGCACCCATCAACACATTCACTTCGATATTCAAGATCTCTCGAATGTCATCCGAAACGAGTTTCACACCGCCTGATTTTTGAGCACTTGGCGCAGACAAACCCTGAAAGTTGTTTATGAAACAGTACTTTACACTAGATGCCGTGATGCAGAGAGGAAGCCGGGTTTCTTCTCAACAACAGAAATTGCAAACTTTAATATGAGGCATTTTTGAAGTTGAGAAAATGTGTTGGAAGATGCCAACCTATGAACTCATCACCTCATTATTCATGTAAATCTCAACATTAGAATGGGCAAGAAAGAAGCAAGGGATCCGAAGAGCTTATCCTGATTGATTGAATTTAGATGCACACATGAAGAGTTTGGGTTACTATTTTGGCTGAAAACGTGTGAAATCGTCATTAGATGTCAAGGATCAATTTGAATGAACAAGACCTCATAGCAGACGCCTAAGCAAGGTGAGTTTGTATCGATGTCGTAAAATAGCAAAAAAAAAAGAATATTGAGAATGAATGAGTATACCACAGGTACAGTCGTATAGGAACGTTTCCGTACATCTCCTACTCGCGAGCGAATTATGTGGAGCAACATTGAAAGATAGAGTAATGATAACTAGCTGACAAAAATGCTTCATTGCTAACAACCCCTCGGCTGAGAAACCGTCTTAAAGCCTTGCTGTACTGAGGCATACCTTCAAAAAGTAATGTCCATGTTTTGAAGATATCGGCAATAGTGATAAACTTATTTGATTCTCGCCAAAAATTCAAAAGCGCATTTCGCAAGGTAACGTAAATAAATCATTACTGCAACCTACAGTTTGTCTGCAACCTTCATTAGCGACTAGGTCAGAAATATATTGCAACAATTGTTGATGCACCTATTTGGAGCGCAAAATCTCGTTAGTAGCAATCCAACCAATATTTTGAATATTGAAAAAGGCAGGTGCTATGAATGTTCATATAAATTCGCTACCTCAGATCCCTCGCTTAATTTACAAAAACATATGTAAATTGCTCAAAAAGCCTGCATTTTTCACACATTTCACCTCCTCGCCTGGATCTGGAATCGCCGCAATGCCCTGAATAAAAAAGCACTAAGCTAGAAAATAACTATTACAGTTAATAAATATCTTGCAAAAAAGTGTTTATTTTTTGTAAGTAAAGTGGATCGTAAGCTCGTCAACTGGATAGATAATGAAACTTTATAGGCTAATCGAAACTTTGATAGTTCACGCAGTCAGACGCTACGGTGAGCTTATCGAGCGGTCCATCATTTTTAGCGAAAACAAAGCCTGTTGTAATCTGACGGCTGCCATAAGTCTCTTTGTGAAGCAAGTTTTATTAGCATAATTTTATTTGTTCTTTAACTTTTCTTTAAGGTGCCATAAGAAGGTTAGCCAAAACAAATCGCTCTAAACATTTAAATCTTTGCATGCCAGTTTTAATAATTGTTGCATTTCATCACTGATAATAATG